TCATAAACTCTTGTTGTAAATCTATTTCTCTCTCTTACCTCAACCGAGGATTCTTTTCTCACGTGGTGGTTAGAAGACGAAAAGATTTGAAGACCGTTTGAAGAAATCTAAAAGAATGGAGATAGCCCGAAGTCCAAGTGCCCGGAAGCCAGTGGGAGCTATCGTTTTATTTTTCTTTTAGGGGTCACAATCATTACACATTTATTTACTGCGTTTTGTGAATGCATGTTGAATGTATGTTGAACGCTAGTAATGGACATGTGCGCGACCATGTCGATAGGTGAGATCGAAATTATAAATCCCTCACGAATATTAAGTCTGTTGCCTTCTGACGCCCGGCACCTATCCGGCTAATGTGCACTGTCATGTACTCAGCCTCAGCAGAGCATAGTACGGTGTATGTTAAACTGGTTACGGGAACCGCCATAGCGTGGTCGCTGTCGCACGTTGGGTTAGACTTAACTGAGTCTTGGTCAAATGGATGGACAACTCAGAGGCAATAAGTTGGGGTCATCAATGACAAGTCGGATGATTTTACTCACTCATCCAGCCAAGAGTTGGATCTTTATGATTTAATTGGAACTCTATTCCTAACCAAAGTAGTCTGCTTGTAAGACGTGCCTCAGCCAATTACAAGTATGGTGAAAAGGTGTCCTGGTCCGGTTGTAGTAATATTGTTCGCCCAACACCAGACCAAGAGCTAAGAGCCCGGCTCATCAGTTGGAACTATGTTCCTACCTAAATAGTTGTCTTGTGGAGTAACGCCCAAGCGGAACGCAAGATAATGAAATATGGATCTTGGCCCACTAGAGGTTTCGCCGGAAATCTCCGAATCAATATCGAGGGTTATTGATTTGTTAAAAATAGTGGGAGATAATTAATTATTAAACATGATAGGATAACCTAGTTTGCAAAATTTTCTATAGATGGCAAACAACAACAACCCTTTCAACCTGCGTTACATCCTGGAAAACAACAAGTTATCCGGGACCAACTTTCTTGACTGGGAGATGAACCTTCGAATCGTTCTTAACTGTGAGAGGAAACTCTACATCCTCGAAACGGATCCTCCCAAGACCCCTGATGCTGATGCTCGTGCGTTCGAACTCACTTCCTTCAAGAAGTATGAGGACGACGCGCGAGATGTAAAGTGTATCATTATGGCCAGTATGACCGCGGAGCTCCAAAGGCTCCACGCGGACATGGAAGTGCGTCCTATGATACAATGCTT